GAATTCACTGTCACTGAGCTTAGAGCATTCACACTTTGATAAAAACAACAGTAGCTCTTTGTTGCTCTTGGCTGCTTTGGCAATTTAATTTTTATTCCCCCCCAGGAGCAACTTTGACATTAATCGGTTTTTGATCACAAGCTGCTGGATGCTTAATCAACCTACTGGACCAAATTTAAGTATCAACAACCCTGCATATTTTATAACTAGTTTTACCACTAAAGTTTTTGGATTTGTAACTTGCCCTGAATAAAAACTGAGTATCTTAATCTTAACTAAAACAACTAAAGATTGATCAAAATGTATAGCTTTTATGACTAAAGGCTGATGGAGACCCTTAAAGATTTCTTAGCAATGAAAACTTGCCTGTTTGAAGCTGTATCATAGAGAAGGCAGCACCTTTTATTAGACACTTCACTTTGGTGTGCTGGCACAATGGGAGAAGGAAACTTTCTTGGCAGGAATACCCATTAGTCTTCTAACAGTTCATACTGTTAGAAGATGTTAGTTCATACTTCTAACAGTTCAGATTTCTTTTATGGGAGAGTAAAATAACTTCTCTTATGAGCCAATAGATGAAAATATTCTGTAGTAATTTTCATTTTGGCGAGAATTGGGTACCTGCTGCCATTAGGCAATACTGAGGATTCCAGACCTGTCTGGTTGTTCTGGTCTCTTGCTCTCAGGTGACAATTTGAGTTCCAGGAGCAGTTTATCCATTGAAAGGGCGAGGGAAGTATTGTAATCTCAGTCCCTGGGGTTCCTTTTAATAACATGTTCCTTTGGATTTCCACACTGAGGATTACAATAGAAGGCCACAAGTGTTGTTGTATTAACTGTGTATCTTGTAGTGTCCCTTCACCTAGAAGTCTGTCCTCCCTTTACATCTTTCTAAGTCTCTTCAGCTTTTGCTCTTAGGTGGCATTTCAGGCTGAACACAATAATCCAGAAGAAAATTTACCTTTCAGTAGTAAAATATTTGACTTTACCAGCACCTCTGAAAGACCGTGTTTTGTTTGCCCTTTGCAAGGCTCCTGCGAACTGAGCAGAATATATCTGTCACTTTTAATTCTTATGCTTTTGTCAAAGCTTTTACTTATCCAAAGTCATAGTTGGTTTCTTTTCAAATCACTTGTCACAAGTCTGCCAGTTGATTCTATGGTTTTTGGAACAGTATTGTTGTACCTTTGCATGGATGCAGAAAATGTATCAGGGGCTTGGAATTCAGCAGGAGCCAGGGATGCAGGCAGGCATTCTGTCCCTGCTCTTTGTGTATCTGGTACCTGAACAAGTCCCAGCCCTCACAGTAGTATGGTAATTCAAGGGTAGTTCTCTATTAAAGAAAGCTGAGATGACCCTCATTAGCAGATTATTGTCCCTATCCAGAACCGACTGTTCCAAGTGCTCTCTATCTGTGCACACAGGCAGTTATCTTCTTGCACAAGTTCTAAATTTTGTACTGAAAGACTTCTTTCTGTTCATTGGAAGTTTTGCCACGGCATTTTGAAAAACCTGTTTACTCCTGAAATATCAACCAAAAGTATGGCCACTGTCACAAACCAAAACTGAACCCTGATGATTTATAAACCAGGAATGCTTACTGTGTTCCTTATGCACATAGTGCTGACTTTTCAGCCATTCAACTTGATTTAAAAATACGAAATAAAAAAATTTTAAATTGGAATTTCACGTCCCCTTTGTCTTCTAGAGCCTCTCTACGTGCCAGGAGGGTTATTCAGAAGTGGGACGTGTTGTTCTTGGTCACAGCTCTGTAAACAGAGATGTAGAGGCATGTGCAGGTATTGGTAGCACTGGGAGGTGTAGGCTTTCCTCAGCAGGGTGCACCTCTGCAGTGTTCTGGAGTGCCATGCCCAGACCATGAGCACGTTGTTAGTGGAGCTGCAGTCATGTCCTGGGGAAGTGTCCCAGGGCAGATATCCCGAGGCAGATTGGAAGTGATGCTCTTTCTCTCCACTAAAGCCACAAGGGCACTGCAGATTTGCTCCAAGTTTCAGTGCAGGAGTGTCATGCCACAGTGATTCTGTTCTGTGCCAGGTTTTACTGCAGAATTAACTCCCAAACATCTGTACAACAAGTCTTTTTGCGTGCTGCCTAAAAAAACGTGTTGCTGTTTGTGTGGGTGGCATTTGTCAGTCTGCTTGGGAGTGTCAGGAACCATATTGTATTATTTTTGAAGTCTCTGAAGGCTGATAACAGTCTGTCTGTAACTGTAAAATAGTAATCTGATGTAATGACGGGAGAAATAAACTTCCCAGCTGACCTGACAGAAAAATGTGTTCATTTTTCCAGAGCAGATATTTCCAGAGTTAACAAGTAATATGAGCATTTGGCTGGCAAGAAATGCTGCGAGTTTCAATGTCATTTAATAATAATAGGATCTTTAAGAATCAAGTCAATTAGGAAACAGCTAACCTCTTCTGGGTCCCAGTCTCACAGGTGCCCCTGTTTGTCTTGGCCTGCAGTGCATGTGCTTTAAACAGGGCAGGATTCAGCAGCAAAAATCCTGATGATTTGACCTGTATAAACATAAGGAGGGGAAGCAGCAACTCACAGGAACCCTAAGTTTAAATACTATTAGCTACAATTACTCAAAACCAGTTAAAAAATAGTTCTCTCTCCTCCTTTCTAGTTCAGGTTCAGTATTCTGAGGTGTTCATAACTTGAGAAGGTCCTTCTTGCCTTTTCAGCTGGCCTCTGTGTGTGTGGTTTTATTTGTTTATTTTAAGCTTTCATTTACATCTACAGCTATTTGTGGATATTGTATGTTAAAATAGAATAATAAGAGCACATTTTTCATTAAAAACTCTTCCAGGTGCTATAGAGCTGCCATCAAAGTATCATTAAGATGAGAGACTGCAGTATTTGTTGCACCTCTTTGGGCTGAAGAATTTTGGTTCTTGAATCTGTTTGGGCTGCTGTGTTTGGAGATACTGCCACTTGTGTGGAGGCAGAACTCATGTCCCCAAAGTATGCAAATGCTTCACCTAGATCCAGCATGTCTGCATTTTCACACTTCTCTGGGACTTGGACTGTTAGAAACATGTTTGTTTTCCCGTAATGGTGGCGTAAAAGAAAGTTTAGCTGGTAGCCAAAAAATAAAAGATGAAGAATGAGGGAACTTCAGACCTCAAAGGACAGCCTGTCCCTGCTGATCCCATGGACTGGAGCTTTCAGCCAAACTCTACCAAACTGTTCTGTCTTCTACAGAACTCTCCCGGTCTGGGAATCACCTGTGGGACAATCTGTACACACCGTTGCATCAAGGAAAAGATAAAAGTGTCTCTTTTTGTAATTATGGGGTTTTTTTGAGTGTGGTATCCATACATTTCACAGTTTATTTTCCTTTGCTACACTTAAAGAATGCTGGACTCTGCAGGAGAAACCAAGCAACTGTTCTGCTCGTGGCTCTTTTGCTTTTGGGAGTAACCTGAGAGCTGGGCAGAGAACACTGCTTGTCTAAGTAATCCTCAGTCCTGAGCATAAAGAACTTCTGTAAGGAGAATAGCAGATGGGAGAGGCAAACAACGAGAGTTCATTTTATTCAGGCCTAGAACAGTATTAGAAAAAAATGCTTTGTGTTTTGCCTGTCATGGTTTGCCAAAAGCTAATAGCTCAGTGCATTTACAGCAAAAGGGTTTATGTGGAGCAGTTGAAAACATTTTCAAATGTTTTCTTTTCTGCCCTCCACATTAGCTGTAAAAGGAAATATTTTGCAAAGGTGAGATGAGATTCTTTTTGGGGTTTCAACAATATTCTAAACTGATGTTGGGGTTCTATCAGAGAACTAGAATGTAAGTAAGTGACCTTCTTTTCTTCCCTAACCATCAACCCTCCCTTGCTTATGATGTGACAATGCATATCTGCACACCTGCCTTCACATGTCACCAGAGGTACTTCTCCAGATGTGTTGGTGCAGAATGTGTTGTGTTTTGTTAACATTCAATGTTTCCTTAAGGATTTGGTGTTGCTGTATTTGTCACTGGTAGGGTGTCATCTGTAGTAAGCTGAATTCAGGGGAGAATTCTTGGTATTTCCAGATAAGGAAGGTCTTTCTTGAACAGGTACTCCTGCACCTGTGGGGTTTTTTTTCCTCCTGTTCACATATTTTGCTCAGTTCTTGGTCTTGGATGTTTCTATTTTTGTCATAGTAGTTGGAAAAGGGGAATACTCAGTTCTAGAGGTGTATTCCTTAATCCATTTCCTTTTCAACTCCAGTATTATTGGAAGACTGGAAGTCAAAGACTGCTTTGATGGGGGGGAGGTGGTTTTAATGGGGCGAGATAGAAAACACCTGGGCGAGATGGAAAACACCTGGGCTTGTACTGAAGTAGCTGGAACCAGGTTATTTGAGAAGTTACTGTAGCCCAAAATAGACTTTACTGACCTCTCTCGGACAGGTAAAATGAAATGTCCAGCTAGGAGGCACGTGAAAAGCAGTAACTTAGGAATAACAGACCCCTCTTGCAATGGGTCCTTTCCAGAACGATGATGGATGGATACAGAGGAGAAGCGCTCCCCATCTCCCGCTGGTCCATCCTGGGCCGGGGGAGCGCTGCGGGGCTGTCCGGGAGCGCACCCCGGCCGGCTCCGTCCCCTCCCGGCCGGCTCCGTCCCCTCGCTGCCGGCTCCATCCCCTCGCTGCCGGCTCCATCCCCTCCCTGCCGGCTCCATCTCCTCGCTGCCGGCTCCATCCCCTCCCGGCCGGCTCCATCCCCTCCCGGCCGGCTCCATCCCCTCGCTGCCGGCTCCATCCCCTCCCGGCCGGCTCCATCCCCTCCCGGCCGGCTCCATCCCCTCCCGGCCGGCTCCATCCCCTCCCGGCCGGCTCCATTCCCTCGCTGGCGGCGGGCGCGGCCCGGGGGTCGGCGGGGCGGAGCGGGGCGGAGCAGAACGCGGCTCCGGGCGCTGCGGGCAGCGAGGGAGGGCCGGCCCTGCGGCCGGTGACTTCATGGGAAGGAGGCGGCGGGAGGTGGGTGTCGCTTTCCGTGTGCCGGTGCCTCTGCAGGGCGGGCGCGGGCCGGGCCACAGCGCGCACGGGGGGCGGCAGCGCCGGGCTGGCTCCCCCTTCCCCTCCGGCCGCAGGAAGATGGAGCTCGGGTAGCCAGGGCTTGCGGGAGGAGCGGCGGGAGCAGGTAAGGGCTGTTCTCCCTCCGCCTCGCCCGCGGGGCCGCGCCGGGGGCCGGGCCGTGTCCCCTGGGCAGGTGGCACAGGTGGGCCCGGGCCGTGTCCCCTGGGCAGGTGGCACAGGTGGGGCCGGCCGTGTCCCCTGGGCAGGTGGCACAGGTGGGGCCGGCCGTGTCCCCTGGGCAGGTGGCACAGGTGGGCCCGGCCGTGCCCTTGCCCGGGGCTGCCCGGCTGCGGGAGCGCCCGCCTTGGGGCAAAGCCCTCGGTCGAGCCGGGGAGGGCAGAGCCGGGCGTTCCCAAACGCCTCCCGCCCCGTGCTCGGGTTTGCGGGCCGGGGATGCGGGAGCTCCGCCGGCTCTGCCCCCGCCCCGTCTCCCCCAGCTCATTGATGAGCTCCGGGAAGGGTTTCTGCATTGCAGACTCTCGCCGGAGCTTCGCTCCTGCCTTTGCGGCGTTCTCCTGCTCAAGGAGCCTGTGCCTGGCCGGGTGCTTCGGGGCTGCTCGGGCAAGAGGCCGATTTGGGCAGGTGGGATGTTCTTCTGTGTTTCTTGGACCGTGTCCGGGCATTCGGGGGATTGACCTCGTTCCAGTAACTATTAGATGTGCATATAATATTTGTTCTCTTTCTGAAAGAGCTGCAAAAGAGTATCGGTCTGGATCTGTGTGATTAACGATCGTTTGAAGTTCACGGGGTGCAGTGAGATATAATGTGCATAGAAAACATAATGCAGTGAGGCACACGACCTTACATAATCTAAATTTAAAAAGCTCCCTACCCCTACGCTTACCCTGGAGGTTGTAGGAACACGTCTGTTCTAAGCTTGTTTAGTACCTATCTGACATAAAGATGCAGAGCCCCCTGTGAGCCAGTGCTGACAATAAAAGGGTAAATTGTTGACTACTTTTGGTGTAGTTGTGTCACAGTGAGTTCCCCATCGCTGGGCAGTGTCACGCACACACAGGGGTGGTTACTGGGCACACACAGCTCCGGCAGCAGGAGGGAAGGGCCTCTTCTGCTGTCCCTTGGTTGCGCCTCTGAACTGACCAGCTATGACCTAACGCTGGCATATTGTAATAACCTCCAGGCTTCTCTCCTGGGCCTGAATGGTGCTGCAATTTCTAGCATATAGATATAAATTTAACGTGAGCAGAAAGAAACCTTGCACACTTCTCATTTGACCTTCAGAGTCTCAGACAAATACTTGAAACTGATGATCAGGGCAAGTGTTTTGGAATGGACTGGTTTAAAATATGTTGCTGGACACAAACATGTACAACTCATATCACATCTGGGGTGACACACCGTCAGTGTTCTGAGCTCTGTATCCAAAGGAAACCAATGCCTGAAAAATTTGGCCCACATTTTAATTTAACTCAGTCCTTACAGATGACATTGACTTTAATAAAGGTTGCTATGGCACAGATTTAAAGTAAAGTATATTAAGCTTCTGGAATTGAAACTGCTGTTGGTAGGAAAAGTGTTGTTATTTACAATCTGTTATTAAAATAGGAGTGTGTTAGCTGTTGGGGCTGGATCTGGCTCCCTTTTCTGCTGTTGGTGTGAATTGACTAAATGGTCTCCTTTCTATGGATGGAGGCCAGGTTTTTCCCGGTGTGACTGTGGTGCTCACACAGGGGCAGGCTGGGCTTTTCCCACTTGAATCTGGAATATAGATGAATGTCAGTGCCTGCCATCCTCTGGGAAGCTTTCTATTCTGAGCCTGTGAGCGTTTGCCTGGGCTGTAGCACTGAGGGTGGTGTGGAGCTCAGCACCGGTGTGGGCTGTGCGTGCCCACACAGCCGTAATCACCGTGTGACAGGGGAGAAATGACGCTTTGTGATCCTCTTCTCTTGTGATACTACGGTTTTGTGGCTGCACTCGTACAAGAAACTCAGTCATCTTTGGGCCAGCTTAATTCATGTGCAGTACAACAGCAGCTAGGAGAATGAGGCTGGGCAGGGATCAGGTCTGACAGACTCCTTTTGGTGTACGTACAGGGCAAAAAGAACTGATTGTTTGCTTAATCGTAGTGTATCTATTTTTGAAAAAGCTATTTTTCTGCAGATGGATTCGAGAAGATTTTAGTCTTGGTTCATCAGTACAAATTTGTATAGTGGTGGTGGTGGTGGCTGGGTGTTGCAGACTCCGAGTAAGCGTGGGATGAGCAGGTAGGAAGGTACTTGGCCCTTCCCTGGTGAGCCTCCCTCTGCAGCTTTCCTTGTCCCCAGGACATCTCCCTCACTGCCACATTGGCACACTCAGCAAAAAGGGCACTGGGTGAAGGGGACTCCAGGTGAGGAATTTTATAGAGCTGAGTACATGCAGGCTGTGAACACTGACTCTGATGCTGCCAATGCAGCCATTGTGCTAATTGTTGCCATAGCTGCCCTTTATGTTACTGGTGAAAACATTAGAGATTCTATGGTTTAATCAGCCAGAGTACTGTATATAGAATATCTAATTTAAATTAAAACTTTATGTTTTGAATATAATCCCTGTGGTGGTTTTGGGTCACTTAGAGTTTTGTATGAGTTTACTGGTGTCATATCTGTGTTATTTCAGGGAAGAAATGGCTTTTTTAATTAAATCTGTTATATACTGCATAGACACATATGAGCTTTAAAAATGTGTATATCACCTGCCTGTCACATATTGTTATTTAGCTTATTCTTGCCTTTAGACATAGTAACCATGGTCTGGACAGGAGGAGAACAGTGGCAAGGCATTCCCACATAGTTATGTATGGGAGAGAGGGTGGGAGTGGAGAGAAGGAAAGGACTAAGGGAACTGGCAGAATGTTTGTGTCCAGACAATCTAGACCTCACATCTTGCAGTGTTTAATGAAGTCTCCTTCTGTTTAATACATTCTGCATTCAAAAAACATAATGAAATCTGAATCTCCTTTTGACTTGAATTTCATAGGATATCTTGGGATTCATATTAAGCAAAAATTAAACATAAACTTTTAATTAAGCAGATGGGAAGCTTAAAATATCAAGTGCAACTGTTATTAAATTGAGGACTGAAAGCAGAAAAGGCTTTGTTGTTGTTGGTTTTGAAGATTTTGTATTCTGCTGGTTCATTTGTCATTGATATGCACGGCACAGGCGTGCAAATGCATTCAGAGCTGTTTAGGCAAAAGCATGGAGCTAAAGGATATGTGGATCCTCTGAGCAAATGAAGCAGGTTGCCCTAATGAAAAAGCTGGCAGATATAAACCTGACTGCTTAGAAGGTCTGAAAATTCAGCAGTGTAGTCCTATGCAAGAGGAGAAGTTCACCGGTTGAGATGTGATAAAGATGTTGTACAGGTGTTAGATTGCATCTTCCTGTGTCATTGATTTCCTGTGACAAAGCATGGCACAAAGCTGAGAACTCAGGTGTCCCCAGATAGGGTGGCAGAACTGTCCTCAAATCCTTGGGAGTGTCTGATGGGTTTTCTTTTGAATGCAGGTTAGTGTATACACCTAAACATAACAGTACAACTGTTTCACTGTCAGATATTTTCTAGACTCCTTTAGTTGTCCTTCCCCAGCTACTGACCCAAGATCTAACAAGTATGGAGGTCCTGAAGATACGAAAGACTTGAGTTACAGTTCTGTTTTCGTGCTGTTTCCCAACGTAACTGCTTCTGTGCTAATTTCTGAGTATTTCAGCTTTTGAGTAGTTTAAAAAGAGAAAGCTGGTTGTGATCTATTTCAAGTCTCTTTCTTGCTTTACTTAAGTTTCTTGTTGTTCTTCCACTTAAGGTCAGTGCTATCTGCTTTAGGATACTGTTTTACCAGTGATTTTTAGTCAGTTGTGTTTTACTGCAGAATATTATTGACATTATCTGTATTTATTTAATCTCTTGGACGGACCTTTGGAAAAGGTTTAGGTTTGAAATAGAGAAATTGTTCAACCTGCTTATTAGCTTTTATTAAAAGGGTTTTTAAATTCATATATTATTTTAGAGTATCTCAACTATTTAAAATAAACTGACTATGAATTTGGTTGGAAAATGTATTTTATAGAAGACATGAAGGATTGCTATTGCTGGAAATATTTTTCAATACTCACAGGGTTTTGGTTTTTTTTTCAGAATGAGCATATCTGCAAACATTTTGTGGTACATGTAGTAAAATTGGAATGCTTCCCCTTGTATGTCGAAAATGTCACTGTTCAGAACCCTGAGTTATGGTGCTCTCTGATCATGATTTCAGTCTTGTATGTGATGCTTCAGTGTGGCCTGTGTGGAGAACAAAGTATGGGTTTTTTTGTCCAAAGGGTAAAGTGGCTGTTTTTACCTGTCAAGGGTTTTGCAGATACTCAGTTCTTCACAGTGATTTTTTTTTTGACTTGCACACTCTCTCAGGATCTGCTGAGTAATCATTTGCATTGAGTAGTTGATCAAAGAAGGGGCAAAACCCATTTAGAAACTGAGCAAGCTGTGAAAGAATTTTGATTCTCACTTTGGTCACAATGGTTATATTTCCACTGTTGTTTTCAGAATTAGAGTAAGGAACACTGAAAACTTGTTCTTTAATCAGATACTTGAAATACCCCATTTCTAATGCTGATGTCTGCTGGCATTATGGCCTGTGCCGTAGGGAAGCTCACACAGTGGGTTCTGCTGTGTGTGGCCAGGAGATGGAATACTGGGCTGGTATCAGAAATGTGTTCCAATGCCTTTGATTAAAATGGCACGCTGCCATGGTGATAGTGCCATAGAAACTGGGGAAATAATCACTGCCTATTAGCAAATCTGAATGAAAAAATTCTTCTCTATTTTTCTATCTTTTATGTTTCAGCACCTTAGCAGGAATGAAACTCTGCTGACGTTCTATTCCTGTTGAAAAAGATCTGGAACAAATTCCTTTGCTCCACATTACACAGCAGGCCAGGCTGAGGTTATTGTATTGGTGCTGCCAAAACATTAAATGCATGGACAACTTCTGGTCTCGAGGGCACTGGAGCAGAGACCTTTCTTACAGCATTGGTGTTTGTTGTTAAGTCACTTTCCTCTCTT